AAATCCTCTTTAAAAAAAAGTTTTTATATTTATTTTATATGTATTATTGCTTTATTTGCATGCATGTATGTACACCATGCACATGCCAGGAGAGGGTTTCAGATCCCTTGGGACTGGAGGTATGGGTAGTTGTGAGCTAGCATGTGGGTGCTGGGAATCAAACTTGGGTGCTCTGAAGAGCAGTAAGTACTCTAAACTGATGAGCCGTCTCTCCAGGCCCAAGATGTCCTCTTTTTGAATGGTACACGCTGAGCAAATATGAAACTATACATTGGCTGGGTGTGATGGTGCATGCATTTCATCCCAGCACTCAGGAGGCAGAGGCAGGTGGGTCCCCATGAGTTTGAGGCCAGCTTGCTCTATATAGAGAGTTCCAGGATATCCAGAACTACATAGTGAGATCCTGTCTCAAAAAAAAAAAAAAAAAAAAAGCCTCCCAAAATAAACTGTCCGTCATAACTTTGAATAGTGTTGATGTTCTGTACATAGAAGACACTTAGCACATACTTATTCTTGAGTAAGCATGAATGATGAGCCTAGAGCCACTGGAGATTTGTGTGAGTGTGTACATTTGTATATTCAGAGTCCAAAAAAGTACCTGCTATGGAGCCTGCCCTTGGGAGCCCCAGATATGGCTAGAAAATAAGCCACCTCTGGCTGGAATAAGAGCTATGAAGCTTGCGTGGAGCAGTCCTCTGTTCAGTCTATAATGCGGTCTGAGGAAACAGGGAGCATTATAAAGGAATGGGCTGTAGCTTCGAGCCTACATGGAAGGTTCTGAGATCTCAGAGTAGTATCTTGTGGCAGGGTGTTCGGCACCAATGGAGATGTGGAGGGGAGGGAAAGGCTCTGGGCTAGGACTCCCCAACAGCACACTTACCTCACTGCGGGTGAGTAGTGGGGGGACGGTGCAGATGGGCCTCAGTGCCAGGTGCAGGTACTCCATCAGTACAGCTGTGGGAGAGGGCAGACGGGAGGGACCCTCAGGACAGATCCATTGGGGGCATTGTTTGCTTTGCTAGGGGGTCCCTTTACAAAGGTCACTGGATTCCTTCAGGTCAGCAGCACCTCCGGAAGAGCAGCCTTAACCTCTTAACCTCTGAGCCGGCTCTCCAGCCTGCCCACTTGCAGTCTTACTGGAAGGCCAGCAGAGGGCAGCAGCAGGACACGCTGTCTTGGTGGGGTGGGACCGGGGAGTGCGAGCAGATGCTGACGTGCAGAGGGAGGGGGAGAATCCAAGGTCCCAGCCGCCACACATCCCAAAGAAGCCCTGGCATCAGGGTGACCTTGGAAGAGGGGGAGCCTCAGGGCTCCCTCTGCTCCACCAGGCATCACGCCTTCCGGCACAGGTCTAGGTGTCAAGGCTGCCCCTCCCCCGCACCCTGCACCACTCCCGGCAGGTCTCAGAGCCCCAGCCTCCTCTTTTACAGTCATTACAGTCATACCAGCCTTGCCAGAGGCTCACATTTAAGCGGGCAGGCCCATGGTGAGTACATCTGCACAGCTGTAGCGATACAGAGACAGGTTCCTCTGAGTGCGCGGGGGTCAGGCTGGGTGCACCTGCCCAATCTATTTAAATTCCATTACTCCTGCGTGCCTCCCTGGCCTCATCACAGTCCAGGCCCTGGGTTTCCAGTAATGTAAACACACACATGTTGTGTGTGTACCTGGCATACAGGAGCTTCTATACCCATGCTGTTCCTTACCTGTCAGATAAACACAGGAAGTTGGTACCCAGATCCAGGGCTGACTATACCCCAGCTTCTCAAACTGCAAGGGAACATGGTCTGACTTCAGAACTGGTTGTTAGGGACTGGCTGGTGAGGAAAGATCACTTGTTTCCCAGATACTGGCTGGCAGGGGACCCCCACCAGCCCAGAGAGACCCCCATGCCCACACTAGTCTTATTTTTCAAGACAAGGTCTTTCTATATAGACCAGGCTGGCCACAAATCATAGAGATCTGTCTGCCTCTACCTCCTGGGTGCTGGAATTAAAGGTGTGCACACTCTGATTGGCATGGTGAAGATGATCGTTTGCACACCAGTCTGGAACTGAGATCCACTCCTTGGTCAGGATAACTCAAGTAGTTGAAAACATAGGATAAATCTTTCTCTTCCGTGTGTGTGTGTGTGTGTGTGTGTGTGTGTGTGTGTGTGTGTGTGTGTGTGTTTTCAGGATGCACCTGCAGTGATACCTTATGGAGGTCAGAGGACAACCTCCTGCAATCAGTTCTCTTCTTCTACAATGTGGGTCCTGGGGATTGAACTCGGGTTGTCTGGCTTGGCAATGGGACTCTACCTGCTAAGCCATCTCTTGCCAGCCTCTAGGGCAGGCTTTTTAACTTAGACTCTTTCACATCATTTAGTTTTTACTATAGCCACCCACACCTGAACATGTTCCCAGGCCCTCAAGTAGAATCTGATTTTTTTTTCCTTCCAGAATTGACTGTACTATTAAAGAAAAATAGATAAAACCCAGCAAGTGGGTGGAAGGCAGAAGGAGACTCAGGAAGAAACAGGCTGGCAGAGGATGAATGGAGCTGTCCACCTGTGTAAAACCTTTCCAGGTCACAGCCAAACCAACAAAGGCTGGCAGGCTGGAGAGAATGGGAGCACTCCCCGACTGCTGGGGGGATGGAGATCCTGCAGTCTCTGGAAAACAGTCTGGGATTCTTCAATGAAAAGTTAAACCTGGAGTAACCCAGAAACTCCATGCAAGTACACAATCCAGCAGGGAGGCTCACTGACCAGCCAGCCTAGTCTCCTTAGTAAGTACCAGGATAGGGAGAGACCCTGTCTCAAAAGACAGGTAAACAGTGCCTAAGGAACAGCACCCACGGTTGATCTCTGACCTCCACAAGCATGTGTACTCACATACATGTGCACTTGTATACACAAGTGAAGTGCACACATACACACATACATTAAGGAAAAAAAAAAAAGGAATGAAGTCTCGACCTGATAGACATGAGTCTATTCATGTAAAATACCTATGAGTCCATTCATATAAAATAATCAAGTGAGGCAAATGAAGAGAGAGGAAGACTCCTGGTTGCCTGGGGTGGGGTGGGCTGAGGATAGAGGTGGGGCAGGGTACACAGGGCTGTATTGCTAACAGGCACAGGCTTGTTTTGCTTATCTGAAGACGAAGACCTGATTTAAGGTTAATTATGGTGATGGTTGTGTACCTCTGAAAACCATATTGAATTACATCCTTCCCATAGGTGAACTGCATAGCTTGTAAGCTACATCTCAATAAAAGTGCTTTTTAATTCAGAAAATTAAAAACAAAACAGCTTTCCACGTATGGGTGTTTTGCTTGTATGTATGATTGGTGCTCGTGGAGGCCAGAAGAGGGCATCAGATCCTCTGGAACTGGTGTTAGAGACAGTTGTGAGCTGCCATGTGGGTGCTGGGACTTAAACCCAGGTCCTCCGGAAGAGCAGCCGGTGCTCATAGGCACTGAGCTGTCTCTCCAGCCCCTCAAAGTGCTCTCTTTAAATGGAACAAACTAGAGCTGTCATCGGCACAGCAGTACATGATAACCCCTCCGCCTTTAGCCTGGGGTTCTGTGCTCACTTCCCACACAGGGCTGGTCCATAGGTCTGTGGGTTGCTGAGAGGGGACAGGTTTTTCAGAGGCTGAGCTCTTCTCTCCAGGCTCTGGTGACCTTCTACGTACCTGCCTAGGGATTACAATCAAACCCTGCCTTTCAGTGGTAGACCCCTTGCTTTTGCATGGGCCCTGGGTTCCACTGAAAAAAGAAATAACAGAAGACTCACATGGCCAGAATCACGTAAGTCAGGAAGCAAGTTGGAAGAGGTCTGTGACAAAATCAGGGAACACATGGTATCATAAAGGGGCAGCCATGGGCTGGAGAGATGGCTCAGAGGTTAAGAGCACTGGCTGCTCTTCCAAAGGTCCTGAGTTTAATTCCCAGCACCCACATGGTGTGGCTCACAACCATCTGTAATGAGATCTGGTGTCCTCTTCTGGCCGGCAGGCATACATGCAGACAGAACACTGTATACATAATAAATAAATCTTTAAAAAAAAAAATAAAGGGGCAGCCACAACCCAGCTTCAGCTATACCCAGGGCCACTCAGGTACGCCGCTGCCAGGGCTTCCTAATGTAGATTCTTGGATTTGGGTGGTAGGAAAGGACTTGAGGATAGAGGATGGGATTTCGGAGTCTTGCTCTGGGTTGGGAGATCAGAACACCTACCAGTGGGGCCATCCACTCAAAGAGGTTGACGCTGTCTCCATCATTGATGTAGTACGCCTGCCCACTCTGGGGGTGACAGGAGAGAAGGGTGTAGTCAGATGTCTGCCCACAGCCTGACCCCACCCTTTCTCATGGCTCCCAGCTGCTTCTGCAGCCCTCTTGTCCTCTTGAGCAGTTCTGGGGACAGACCTGGGCAACACCTTAGTTAGTAAGGGCGGCCACTGGCTTGGCACACATGACGATATTCTAGAGAGATGCTGACAACGTGGGCCAGCTGTCTGTCAATCTGACCATCCGACTATTGAAACAAGGGACCCCCGAAGAGACAGGGATTTCTTCGGGATCTCACGCTGGAAACACAAAAGGACCACAGCCAGAGGGGAGCTTATCTCCCTTTCATTCCAATGTAGCAGCTTACAGGAGAGCCAAGCCCACTCAGGGATGACTCAGTGGTGGACAGGACCATACCTTGACCAGGACTGCCAAGACGTGCATATTCCTGGGACTCCGTTAAACTTTAATGTCACTCAGGATTCCAAGACAGACTGGGTCCTTTCATCCTTCTTTCCCTTTTTACTATTGGCTGTTTGGTTTGGTTTCTCTACACAGCCTGGTCCTGGATCAAACTCCCAGAGATCTGCCTGGCTCTGCCTCCCGAGTGCTGGGATTAAAGGTGTGTGTCAACACCACCTGATCTAATTTGACTCTTTTTTTTTTTTTTTTTTTGGTTTTTCGAGACAGGGTTTCTCTGTGTAGCTTTGCGCCTTTCCTGGAGCTCACTTGGTAGCCCAGGCTGGCCTCGAACTCACAGAGATCCGCCTGGCTCTGCCTCCCGAGTGCTGGGATTAAAGGCGTGCGCCACCACCGCCCGGCTAATTTGACTCTTTTAATTGGCTTCTAAAGGAGTGATTGAACTTGGCTTCTTGGGGTGCAGATTGTGGCCCCAAGTTTGGTAACAGGGTGACCATACTGACAAGCTGTGTGACTTCGATGGACTCATTCAACCTCATTGTACTTCAGTTTCTTCAGTACTTCCGTGAAGACTGTGACCCATTCCAGTTTGTAGCTGTGATGTCACAGGGTCACTGCGGAAGAGCTAATTATGTTCTCTGAAGTTTCTACCCAACCGATTGACCCTCAGACTCCTGAGGCATGATTCTCCTTGCCTGCAGCCTGCGCGGGGTGGTGGTGGGGTGGTGGGCAGGGATGTCACAGGACACTCACAGCCACGTAACCCTTAGCCATGGTGAGAGCCTCAGCCGCCAGCATGTGTGCCTGCACCAGATTCTGCACATGGACCCAGTTCATGCGCGTCCTGCGATCCCCAAACCGGAACATGAACAGTCTCTTCTTGATGTGGCTCTGGTGCGGGGGAGAGGACAGTGTAGGCTCACCTGGCTGGTTTTACACTTTATATACATGCTCACAGCTTCCAATCAGTAACAGGCTAGACTCCAACTCCCATGTCCCAAGTCCTTGGGACGTCTCTGCTTGCTTGTCTCACAGGTGACTTTGGGCCACCTTTGACCTTCCCTGACTTCTCTCATACCTCACACTCAAAGCACTTGTAAACCCAGCTGCCCCAACTATTACATCTGTTCAGAATCCAACCCCTTTTCTCCCCCTTTACCACCCCTCTCTCGCCTTGGGAACTCCGGCAGCTTCTTAGCCGTCCATCTACCCTGCACAGCTGTATCCGGCCCTGTTCTGGTGACTACAGAGGCACACGGGCGGTGACGATGAACACAGACCCGCTGACAATGTCCCAGTGCCCCTCTAGCCCTGGCCCAGCCAAACCACACCTTTCCCTCCTCCTGACCCCCTGTCCTGTGCTGCCACCACCCCAGGGCTGTCTGTGTACTCCTGGGAAGTCTTGGGGCCTTCTGAGAGTCGCCCCGTGTCTGGAGGTTCTTCCTCCAAACGCCTGTTTGACACACCTGGCTCCTTCCTCCCTTGGAGGCTTAAAACCTGGCTTTCCCCCAGCCACTTCCCCAACTCCCCCGGGAGCCCACCCCACCCACTTTTTCTTTTCCCCCTTTGTGCCCGGCACTTTCCAACACTCTTTATAATTCAACATTGAATCTGCTTGAATCTATCTCCTGGGGTGGGAACAGAGGCCACACAAGGGCAGGGTTGTCTGTTGTGTTTGCTGATCTGAACAGTACCGAGCACACAGTAGTCCTTGAATTAAGTGTGTAAATGGTGAAAAGCCACTGAGGTTAACCCGTGGTCATCTAAGAACTCCACAGAGGAGTATTTGAAGCAGCAGGCCAGAACAGCACTCCCCAGATGACCTCCAGTGGCTCCCTGTGGCCTTGCACCCCCCATTAGTTCCAGTCATCGGGACCTCTTGCTGATGACGACATTAACCGTGACCTTCTTCACATCTAGGGTCATGCTCAAGTTGCTCCTTTGCCTGGCATTTGCTTTCTCTAATCACCACAGCTCATCAGAAAAATCCCTTTTCCTCCTTCCAAACACTGTAGGCATCCCTTCCTCCAGGAAGTCTTCCTGGGTCTCCCCTGCCAGGCCCATTTTCTCTTGCATCTTTCTACTCAGCCTTCACAATCCTGAAGCTATGACTGTGTGGTCTGTCTCCCTGACCAGGTTGTGAGGCCACTGGGGCCTAGAGTCCCCTGCAGCTGTATTCTAGGGTTTTCTGGCATGAAGAACCTTCCCTGGCAGCCTGAGATAAACTGCTCAGCCCTTGGGGTACCCACATGAAGGTCTCTCTGGTGTCATGGCTTTCTTTCTCCCTCACTTGAACAGAGGCCTGGCTGGCACACTGGGAACTTTGACCCTGGTAGGCCTGAGGACTATGAACTTGTAGGCATCGGGGTGACCTCCCAGCATAGAGAGTCTCTGACATTGCCCCTAGACAGATGTAATGATCCAGTCAGTGTGCACACCACATCAACCTGACTCTTTCTGCCTCTGGTCTAGGAAGGCTGGGAGAGGACCTACCGCCACCCGGGGCAGGTGTCTCTGTTCTTCAGGGCCATAGATCCCTGGGGGACGGAGCACACAGGTGCGGAGGGTGCCTCCTCCTAGGACACAAGAAAGGGTGGTCACAGCACATGAGGGTGGGGAGTTCAAAGCCATCCACATCTCCTGCCCCTTATCTAGCATGAAATGCCCAGCATAGATACTCTGTGACTCCAGCAGCCCAGTTTCTTTGGGGACCTCACCCACCTCCCAGCAACCCGCAGAGGTCCTTAAAGGTGGTATCCTTAGATATTCTTACCTGGAAGTGACTCTCAGCATCATCGGAATTAAGATCACAAACCCTGAGGGCACTGGCCCTAAGCTCCTGCCATCCAGGGCCCTGGAAGCTATTCATGACCTTTGCTTCCTAAAGCAGGTGGCTGTTCTTTCTGCAGATCTGTTTTCTAGGCACTTTCATTGTATGCTCCCTTTCCCCGTGAATAAGCCAGGGCCAGAAGCTTCCATCTTTACCAAACACCCCTCCCTTTACAACGAAGCCCAGAGTCATGGATGATAGAGTGGTCCCCAAAAGATGTGTCTACATTCTAGGACTTGCTAGTGTGGCTGTTTGGAAAGTGGCCTTCAAGCTTGTAATTAACGATATTGGTGAGTTGAGATCGTCGTAGATCTTCAGCTGGGTCTAATCCAATTACAAGTGTCTTAGAGAGATCAGCAGAGGAGACAGAGGCCACAGGAAGGTAGAAGCAAGGACTGGAGTTTTGCAGTCATGAGCCAAGGGTCACCTGGGGCCACCTGAAGCTGGAGGAGACAGAGGGCCCCTTCTCCAGAGCCTTCAGAGATCGGGTTCTACATGCTAACACCAGCTAACCCCAGGATTCCAGGCTCTAGCTTTTAAACGGCAAGAGAATGTCCCAAAGCACTATGGGAGCTGCAGGATACTAACACAAGCAGGTGCAAGAAGATACAGCACCTGACAAGGCCCTGTGACCTACTTATTAGGATTCTGGCACCCAGCTCAAGTGAGAGCCATCTCAGGACTAGCCTGGATCTCAGGCCTCTGTAATCACCCCTGGTGACCACGGTCAGCCTCCTGGAAGGCAGATGTTGGCTGAGCTTTTCTGTAGCCTTACAGCTAAGTTTAAACTCTGGGTCCCTGGGGCCATGGTGGAAGGAGGTCAGGTTGCAGCCAACAGTGGCCTGTGGGACACTGGGTAACCACGACAGAGAGGGGCAGGTCTAGGGTATCCATGACTCTTTAGAGCATTGAAAGCTGGGGATGTGCATATAAATAATTCCCAGCCAGAGGATTAGGTGTCTGGCCTGGCGGTAGGTGAAGGGGCTGTGCCCTGGCAGAGAAGGGAATTCAACTGCATCAGCTCAAATCCTGGGGGAACACAGTGGATGTGCACCCCAGGACCAGGGGTCAAGGACTGACAGACTAAGTCATGAAAGCAGGGATATTATAGGGGAAAGAGCCCACATGTAGGGACCTGGTTCGCTGCCTCTAGAGCAGCAACAGTGGGTGAGGCCCGGATTCTGGGGCTAAGACTCCCCTGGGCTTCAAAGTTCAACAGCTCGGTGCTGTGTGACTTTGAGCAAAGCCAGTTAACTGGCCTCTGTTTCCTCCGCGTAAACTGGAGGCTATAATTCCAAGCCTCTCTTGTTCTCCAAATCTGATTGGTTCCCACATTTGTTTGTCTTTTCCAGTGCTTCTAGAGAGGTTGAACACAAGGCTTCATGCTAAACAAGCTTTCTAACTCTGAGCTATATCCTGCCCCCGCCTTTTTTATTTTTTGTTTATTTGAGGCAGGATCTTGCTATATAGCCCAGGCTGGCTTTGAACTCACTCTGTAGCCCAGGCAAGCCTTGAACTTGTGATCTTGCTGCCTCAACCTTCTAAGTAGATAGTATGTAAGGACTTTGCCACCAGACCCAGGCAGATAAATTTCTCTCTCTTCTTTTCTTTTCTTTTCTTTTCTTTTCTTTTCTTTTCTTTTCTTTTTCTTTCTTTTTCTTTTTCTTTCTTTTTTTTTTTTTTTTTGACAGGGTCTATGTAGTTCTAGCTGGCCTCATACTCAAGATCTGCCTGCCTCTGCCTCCTGAATGCTAGAATTAAAGGTGTGTGCCACCACCTCTGGCCTGGATAGATAATTTTGACAATAAAAGGAAACCATGTTGGCTGGTTTCTTTTAGTTCTAAACTTTAGAAAGACAGTAACAATGATTTCTGGCAAGCAAATTGTCTGAATGGGTTTGGCTCCTGTGTGGAAGACCAGGGGTGCCTAAATTCCACCCCCTCACTCAGGAATGTTATGGAGTGAATGAACCTTTGCATATGGAATTAGCATGAAAAACAGGGCCTGACATGAAGAATGCATGAAAGTGTGGACTGTGCCTATTTGATGATTGCTTCTCTGTAGCCCGAGGAGAGAATGCAGAGAGACAGCTGAGGTGGGTTTCTCCAGGAAGTTTCGGTGCAGAAGCCTCTCTCTTGCATGATTCCCTCCAAAGAAGTGTAACTCCTTACACATTCATAATGCTCCAGACTGCCCAAACTAAATCCATTCCCATAAGACAGCAGAGAGAGCAAGTGTCAGGCTATCTCAGTCTTTTCCTCACCAGACTGCAAGCAGGAGATCTGACTGTCCAGGCCATCTTCTGGTCGGGGAGGCAGGTACTCAGAACACATTGAAGGACAAAGGCCCAGACCATGTGGAGATGTCCCTTGGAAGGCTATAGGGCCTCAGACACACAATTATAAGAGGCAGCAGGAGGCAGGCATGCCTGTTATAAGTAGGCCCCATGGTACTCACCTAGGAGAGGTGTCCCATTGGCCATGAGAGTCAACTGGTCAGCAATGGCTTTGGTCCGAGAGTAGTGGTCCATGTGCTGCCAGGGGACAAGGAGAACACAGTCACCAGACGGGCTCAATGATATTGACGGCAATGCTGGCCCATTTGGGCTTAGTCTACCCCATGGCTGCATAATCCTGACTCAGGGACGCACCTGCCAGTCTGCAATATCTGCCCTGTGACACTGATGTCAGATACAGGTTGGATGATGTGGTCATATGTCATCCTTTAGTGTTCCTGTGACATCTTCGCACATAATCTCATTTCCTACTCTTTACAAATCCCCTCCGTGGTGTTATCAGGCTTAGATGGAGAACAGAGATTCAGAGTATATGATAACCTGCACCATCACAGGGGTGAAAGGTGCCAGGCTGGGTGGGGCTCACGGCCAGGTCTATCTGATTTTGAAGCCTCCGAGGGTGTAAGACCACTCAGCTTGGGAGTCCGTCCTCCTGGGATGCACCCTGAGCTAAAAGACGGACCTGGCTCTATCAACACTTGCCGTTGGGCAGACACTTCCCAGCCTGCCCCCCTGCCCCATCTCTCCCAGAAGTCGGTACCTTGTCCAGGGGGAAGTATGGGACAGAGTCCTCATCGCCTTGCTCTATGGGCTTTCCACCAAATGTCACGTTGACTGTGCTGGTGTACACGAGCCTTGGAACCCGCCGACGGACGCAGACTGCAGGAGACACACACACACACACACACACACACACCACATCAGACTGTGAGCAAGGAGCTGGCTAAGGAGGAGCCCAGAAAAGGCCTCTGTGGGCAAGTCCACCCATTTCTACTCAGTCTTAACATCCCACCCCATACCATCAGGGATCTCCAGAATCCAGAACCGCCTGGGAGGGAAAAGCCTCCCCCCTCAACTTGGGGACCAGGGCTTCTTATTCCTCCTTCTAGTGTGCCTTTGCCCCCCCTCCCCCAGCCACTCAGTCAAGGGCAGGTAGGAAGAAAAGGCTCACTTGGTGGGACAGATAGAAAAGATGCCCTAGAGCTGGAGAAAGCGCAGGTCAAGGTTGGACACATTCCGAGGGCCCAACAAGATGCTGCTGTCTGATGTTTCAGTGACCTTCCTCGGTACCATCCTTAACCCTGGGACCCTAGACACACTAAGACCGTTGATGCTACCTTCAGGGAGGGCCCTGAGCAGGTCTATACACAGGGGGGATAGTCTGCCTCCCACTGGCTTCAGCTGGTACAGTCTAGGTAGGGCAGGGGGGTCTTGCCTCTGTTGCCCCCACCCCTGCTCCCACCCCAGAGCTAGGCCAGCGGCAGGAGAAAGAGGAGGAGGGATCACACACTGCAGGGCACACTGCACTCTGAGGGCCTACCATTAATCACTAGTCTGGTGCCTCCGACATTTATGGACTCAATCTGCTGTTTCTGTAGCTAGAAGACAAGAGGGAAATGGGAAGTCACGTGCTGCCTTCCGCCTTGTGGCTGAGGCCACAGGCTGAGCTCAAGGTCAGCAGGAGTCACGCTGAAGCATACTTGGAGCAGGGTGCATGGGCTGGCATAGAGTTTGGCACGGATAAGTAACTTCAAATGTGTTGGATCATCTTCTGCCCCCCCCCAAGTCTCCCCTTATCTGAGACAAATGTGGTGATGTGGCCGTGCCCAGGAGGACACTGGAGTGTAAACAAAGAAGGGGTCTGCAATGATAGGTTCCTGTGTGCCAGGCGCCCAGCAAACAGTACAACCCAGACCTCATGTAAAGCCCCTGGGAAATGGGATGTGCTGTGTTTGCAAACGAATTTCTTTCTTTGTTTTCCTTTGAGACAGTGTATCTCATGTCACCCAGGCTGGCCTCAAACAAGCTATATAGACAAAGATAACCTTGAATTTTCTGATCCTCCTGCCTCCACTTGCCAAGGGCTGGGATTATAGGTGTGTGCCACCACATCTGGTTTATTGGTGCCGGGGATTCACCCCAGGGTGCATGCCAAGCAAGCTGTCCTACCCACTGAGCCACATCCCCAGCCAAAACAATATTTATTCTTATGGTGGTGTTTTTTTGTTGAATGGGGAAACAGTTACAAGGTTAAAAATAATTCAAACAGTAAAAAGGATACCCAGGGGCTGCAGAGATGGCCCCGTGGTCAAGAACACTGGCTGCTCTCCCAGAGGTCCTGGGTTATGTTCCAAGCACCCACATGGCCGCTCATGACTGTCTGTAAATCCAGTTCCAGGGGATCTGATGCCCTCTTCTGACTTCCCCAGGCACCAGGCAGGCATGTGATACATAGACATACATGTAGGCAAAACACCCATACACATAAAATTAAAAAAAAAACAACAACAACAACTATCTAATGAAGAGGGAAGTTCCTTCACATTGCTGATGCCAAGTCTTCCTCTGCCCTCTCCAGAGGGGACTGCTGTTAACGGCTTTGGACGTTTGTACAGAGAACCTGTATTTAACATCATTGTATACTCTTGTGCATGTAGCAAACATCTGACCTAGCTTTACAAGTGTTATCACGTTTTGATTTATTTGTTTTTCATGAGCATGCATGTGTCCATGTGTGTGAGGGCCGTGGTACACAGGTGGAAATTAAAAGACAACTTGTGGGAGTCACTTTTTTCCTTCCACCGTGGGTCCTAGGGGTCAGACTTGGCAGGAGGCACCTTTTTTTTTTCTTTCTTTTTTTTTTCTTTTTTTTTTTCTTTTCTTTTTTTTGAGACAGGGATCTCTCTGTGTAGCCCTGGCTGTCCTAAAACTTGCTATGTAGACCAGGCTGGCCTCAAACTCACAGAGATATTTCTGCTTCTGCCTCCTAAGTGCTGGGGTTAAAGGCAGTTGGTTGAGTCATCTTGCTGGCTCTTAGCTTTTCTCTTTTCTTTTTAAAAGTAAACAGGGGATACCAAACACTGCTTTGAACTTTGGAGGTTGCCAGGGGATCCACACTTTGGAGTCTTCTCATTCTTTTGAATGGCTGCATAGAATTTCACAATATTCCTACTCTTATTTTGGTAACTAATAGACCACTGCATAATTTCTGATGTTTTATTATTAAAACCAATGCTACGGATATGGAAATAAGTATAACTTGAGTCAATGGAATGTTTTGGTAGATGCTGCTACAGAGTTTCCTAAAGAGTTTGTGACATAAATCATGGTGACTCCTTCCTTTCCAGATGAGGAAGGGAGAGGTGACCTGGCCTGGGTCACGCAGGTGGAAGGCACCAGAACTGGTGTTTGATGTCATGGATGCCCAGTGCTTCTTTGGAGGAGGCAAAAACAATAAGACATACTTGGGCATCGGAGTGTGGTGGGTGGGGGCAGGACTTGAACACCATTCTGCCTGGTTCTGGGTGTGTGTGGGGGGAGTCTCACCTTCTCAGCCCCAGACATGCCGTAGGAGGCCACGTGAAAGACACAGTCCACCCCCTGGAAGGCTTGGTACAGGGCTTCTTCATCTCGGACATCAGCCTGAAACAGAAGTGAGAGGTTCAAGTCCAAGGCAGTGACCCAGCCCAGGCCAAGCGTCTGCTGGGCCAGGATTTATCAGCTCCACAGAGCATCAGCAGGCACTGCCCCCACTCATCCTGCTCTGGGGCCCAGGGCTGGCCTGGGTGTTTCATATGCACTGTCTTATCGACTCTCTATGAGCTCCTTGTAAAACACACATGATTACTGTCTCTTTCTGGGGATAAAGACCGGGGCTCAAGGGGGTGGAACTAAAGCTTGGAAGTGTAAGAGCTGGAGCTGAGGACCCAGAATGGCTAAGAGAGTGAAAGTACTTTCCCAGCAAGCCTGAAGGCTCCTGGAATTCACAGAAAGCTGGTGAGGTGGCCCGCATCTGTAATCCCAGCACTCCTCCAGAGAGATGGGAGGTGGAGATAAGAAAAATGCCTGGAAGCTCTTAGCCGGCCAGACCGGAGTGTGTAGAACAGAAGCAGAAACAAAAGAGGCCGGCCTCATCATGGTAGAGGGAGAGAACTGACTCTGGAGAGTTCTCCCCTGGCAAATGTATGACTGCACTCTCACACACATCACATGCACATACACATACATCACACACATCACTCACACATACAAACATATCACACACACATCACACCATGCATATCACACACATCATACATACACTCACATATATATCACACACATCACTTACATATACAAACATATCACACACACATACATCACACACATGCACATCACACATACACTCACATATACATCACACACATCACACACATCACACATACACTCACATATACATCACACACATCACACATACACTCACATATACATCACACACACATCACACACATCACACACACCACACACATCACACACATCACACATACACTCACATATACATCACACACATCACACACACCACACACACCACACATACACTCACATATACATCACACACATCACACATGCACTCACATACACATCACACACACACATCACACATACACTCACATATACATCGCACACACACATCACGCATACACTCACATATACATCACACATATCACTCACACATACAAACATCACACATACATGCACATCACATCACACACACAAACATGTATTTATAAAAATACATACACACATCACACCCTTATCCCCCCCCCACACACACTGATAACAAAATCTAAAAATAAAGTGAGGTGGTAGTAGTGGTGAATGTCTCTCTCTAATGCCAGCACTCAGGAGGCAGAGGCAGGTGGATTCAAGCCCAGCCTGGTCTACAGAGTGAGTTCCAGGACAGCTAGGACTGTTTGTTATACAGAGAAACTCTGTCTCAACAAAATTAAAACTAAAACCAAAACAAAAAAAACCAAACTTTTTTTAATAAAAAAATAATAAAGAATTGGAGCTAAATCGGACTCCAGAGCCCGAGATCTCAGACTCCACTGCGGGTTCATATCCTGTTTGTCCACCTGAGCTCTGCCACCGTCACCGTCACCTCCGGCACCGTCACCTCCAGCAGCAGCACACACACACCCCATGATCCCCATCTCTGTACCTGGATAAACTCCGTTCCTGAGGGTAGTGGCCACTGGGGTCTGCGGAGGTCCAGCAAGATGACAGAAATGCCTCTCTTGGCCAGGCTGGAACCCAGGCTGAAGCCCAGGTAGCCTCCTCCTCCGGTCACCAGAACCTTCTGTCGGGGGGCCTGTGTGGGTTTGGCCTGTGTCTTCTGCTGTAGCGCTGGTTCTGGGGGCGTCACTGATTCACTGTCAGTGAATGACGGGTGAGAACCAGCCCCAGAGCCTCGTCTGGTCTCAGGCCCTGGGCCCAGCCCAGGTAACAGTGCAGCTCCTGGACTAGGTACTGACTCGTTTCCTAGCTGAGGTACTGACCCGGCTCCTGGCTGAGGTAATATCCCAGCTCCTGGCTGAGGTATGGACCCAGCTCCTCGCTGGGGTACTAACCCAGGTACTGACTCAGTTCCTGGCCTGGGTCCAGACCCAGCTCCTGGTCCAGGTAATGGTCCTGCTCCTAGCGCGGGTCCCTGAGTAGCAGCAGGCCCTGAAGAAGCACCAGGTACTAGCCCAGTCACAGAAACAGCACTAGGTCCTGGGCCAGAATCTGGAACAGCGCCAGGACCAGGTCCCGGTCCTGGAATAGCCCCAGGCCCAAGCCCAGACCCTAGAACAGCCCCAGGCCCTGGCCCAAGGCCTGACCCTGACCCTGAAGCAGACCCCAGGCCTGAGGCCCCTCCACAGGCCTGGCAGACAGGGCAGCCCTTCTCGCCCTGGCCTGCAGCTCGGCAGGTTTCTAGGGAGGAGCCCGCAGGGTTGGTCTTCATCTTCTATGAAGCCATGCAGCCTAGAGGCTGTCCACCTGTGGAGAAAACCAGAAGAATGTTCTAGGGTCATCCCAAGGCACACCTTACCAGGTCCTGAGGACTAACAGGAACTTCAGGTAGATTAGAGCCTCATAGATCTCTCAGGGCTCCAGACTCTTTCAGAGTCCCCAAGAACCTCCATGTGGCTGCTGGCTCCTTAGGGAGTCAGAGAAGGCAGCCTGTCCTTTGACTTCATAGTTGAGGAAACTGAGGCTCAAAATCATGTTGTATGACTCAGATGTACACTAAGCACCCCTGATTTCCCTACAGGCTCCATGTAGCACCAGAGGAAGGCAGGTCAGTCATGCCTAGGGGACTCACATACTGGGTGTGGTATTATCTGGCTTGGAATCAGAGGGCAAGGAGGAGGAAGAGGATGGGGAGGAAGAAGAGGGGGGAGGGGAGAGGAATAGAAGGGAGAGAAGAGCAGGAGGAAGAAGAGGAGGATGAGAGGGAGGAGGGAGAGGAGGAAGAAGGAGAGGAGGAGGAAGAGGGAGAGGAGGAGGGAGAAAAAGAAGAGGAAGAGGATGGAGGGGAAGGGAAGAAGGGAGGAGGAGCAGGAAGGTGAGGAAGGAGAGGACAAGAAGGGTGACGAGGAAGAGGAAGTGGAGAGAGGAGGAACCACTGGGACATAAAGGGCTCAGCACCTGGGAACTTGTCTATGATCCCCAAGTCTGCAGCCACTTCTGACACCAGGTGCTCCAGGGGCAGCTGGCTGACACCACACTGTCCGATCCCCTGCGGCCTTCCGGGTCAGGTGGGTGGGCCCCAGGGGCCAGCACTGAGAATCCTGTCCTCCTAGACCTATAGCTGACCTAGGCTCAGTCAGCTGCCATGGTCTTTCCTACTCTCATCTCCCTGAGCATCAGGCTGGACCAAGGACTAGGTCATTAACATTACAGAAGCGGGACTGTACCGCAGGCCTTCTGTGTGCCAGGTCTGGCCTCCTGCATGGTGCCCACTGGCCGCACGAAAGAGCAGGTGTGTGTTCAGTGACTGACTGGCCAATGAGCTGTTGCCTGCGGTGGTCACAGGACAAGGACCCCGGCAATTATGCCTGTGTCTCCTCTGTCATCCCGTTCGTTTTGGCCCGGGAAGGCAGTCATGTCCCACATAAGTGGTGAGGGTATCCAATTCTCCCACCCCACCCCATCCTCAGGAGACAGGATGTAGCTTCAGAGGGGAGACGCCTCTCCCAAGGCCCAGATGACTCTTCTGGGGAAGGGTATATGGGTATTTATGGTGGCAAAGTCTGGGTGTGCCCTTGGGTAAAATGCTTAGAACTTCACTGTGCCTCAGTATCCACAGCTGTGAAATGGGCCCAAATCATCTTGGCTGCTCCAAATTCCTTACACAGTGGTCCTGAGAGAGCAGACACCAAAGTCTTTGCAAATCGCCTCAATGCAGGCTGCATGCAGGGTTGCTGACTGGTGTCTCCCGTGCCTGGAACAGTCCCTGGCTAACGGCTAGGAGAATAAACGGGCCTGTTCCTCAGGGGAGCATTACGGCCGAGCCAGGACTGAACCTGGGATATGGCAGTGCTAAATTCTCCTGGCAATCTCAGGAAGCATAAGCTACTGTTCCCATTACCCAGAAGTGGAAACCGAGGCCCAGCAAACATCAGAGAATTGTAAAAGAATTACACTAAAAGGTTGGCTGTGGTGATGCACACCTGTGATATCAGAACTTCAAAGGCCTGCACAGGAGGATTGCCATGAGGCTGAGGCCAGCTTGGGTTGCATAGTAAGGTCCAGACCAGCCTGGGATACAGTTTAAAAACAAACAATAAAACAAAAACAAGCAACAACAACAACAACATGGCTCATCGAATTGACTTGAGAAAGTTGTCCTCTGACCTACACACATGCCCCGTGGCAAGTGTAC